ATCACTCCTGTTTCTACCTGGAGACAGCAGTCGCCTCATTGTTCTGACACACAACACAGCTTCAACCGTCTGTTTGTTGAAAAAAAGTAACGTGACCGCGTTTTCTTGTTAGTAACGGTAACGGCGTTGTAACGGTAGGAATAGTAATAAGTTAGATTACTCGTTACTGAAAAAATTCCCATCACTGTATATAAACAGTCCAAAACAGAAAAAAAACCCACAAACACAAATAATTTTTATATATAATAAACTAATCAATCATGGTTTGCAGTTGTAGCACTGACACTTTAAATGTTTGGATTTTTTTTATGATATTATTTTAGTATTAGTATAAGTCAAAGAAGTTAAAGACATTAAGGACACACATTTCAGTTTTGTCTTTCTCTTTATTTTCATTCAACATTTTTTGTCAATCATTGAACAAAAATTTTAGTGTTTTTTTTTTTGCAAAATAAAGAAATCAGTTGTTTACTGTTCTTCTTCTTTGTTTTTTCGTTTGTTTGTTTTTAGCCTCGACTGATGTGCCCAACATCACGATCGGCCCCACCTCCAGCCCCACTGCTGTCTCCATCAGCGTCCCCATTGTCACTGCTGCTCTTGTTCTCGCTGTCGTTGCACTAATCGGATTCATTATTTACAAAAAGAAAACTGGTGAGTGAACCAAAGTGATGATTTCAGTATTTTTAGCGTTTTTCCAGGTTGCACATTAAAACAAGCTTCAGGTCCTGGTACAGCAATGATGTTTAAAGCCCCAGAGTGATGACTGTAACAGTATTATCATAGTGAGAGAAGGAACCAATAGTAAATAAAGTAAAAGGTAAAATAACGTAGAGAGCTTTGTAAAGCAGTTTGAGTTAGTGGTGTAGGGATCAGTGTTCCTGTATTTACAGCTATGATCACTGACATTTGATTCTTTCTTTTATTTACAGCTAAATCTTCTAAACTATGTAAGTAAATTTCTCATGTAGACATTCTGAGCTGAATCCTGTTCACATAAAAATCTGTTTCACTGAACGTGAATTAGAGACTAAAATTAAATGCATGGAAACAAAGCAGATGACTGGCAGTGTGTTGGAAATTAACAACAGCATCACCACAGAGCAGCTCAGCTGGTTGCTGAAGTTTTTATGTTTTGATTTTGTCTGTCTGGTCTGATTTTTGTAGACATGAAGACTTCACCTGAAGATGATCCTGAAAGGAGCCCTTCAGGTGTGTCTGTTTGTGCTTGGATTGGAGGATTTGTTTGTGTCCTCATAAAAATTGTAACGTAGTGGCTTTATTTTTTTTTACATTTTCTAAATATGAAAGTAGAAGGTTAGAAATTCAAACCATGTGTTCATATAGTCAGTTATAATAGTTTATAGTTACACAGCACTAAACAGAACAAAATAATTAAAGCATCAGTACTAAAAACAAGTATAGACGGCCCTGTCTACGTTCAGTATGTTCAGTAATATTTTACAGTAACAAACTAAATCTGTGTATCACTGCAGGTCCTGTTACTTTAATCTGTTTGTCTGCAAATGCTCATCCATCTCTTAGCTTCAACGTTTCCCTGAACTCCTCAGGATCTTCATTTATTCTGCTCTCTGTCATTTTTCACCACCACACATCCTCATTCTTCTTCTTCTTCCATGGCCTGGATGTTGCCCAATAAACTTTTCTCCATGTTCACTAACTGAGATTTCTGTAGTGCTCACATAAATATATTTTATAAGCACTGCAAAATTTTCTGACCTACACAATGAAACAGTGCTCACATATTTTAAAAAGTTAAATATTCAAGTGACAGAAACAGAACCATAAATCCTCCTGCAGCTGAGAAAACTTTCTCCTCGTGTCTGTGTTTGTGTTCATGCTGTTTGTATTTAACACTATCATCAACATCAACAGATCATATTATTTTTTTAGTTGAACATAATCATTTTGTTAATCATTTTGTATTTTTCCTCCTCAGATTCAAAACCTTCTTCAGACATAACCATCAAAACTGAGCTGATGACAAGTAAGTACAGGCTCTCTGTGACACACAGTCTTAATCTTTATGTGGTGCTGCATGTTTTTACTCATGGAGTTTTATACTTTGATGCATTTTGAATTATTAAAAACATTTCTGAACTGTTCAGCTGGTCTGACTCACCAGCTGTAGATTTCAGGTATAAACCTGCCATCACCATCATATCACACGTTTCTTCTCCTACAGTCGATTGTTTTTGGAGTTTAAATGCTCTTATCTAAACAAAACAACATCCTCAGAGGGAGCAACATACATGCTGAACATGGCAACCACTCGCAAAGATCTAGATATAACAAACTAGACATTTTTATGACAGTGCACATCGCTCCAGTTGCTCTTTCTTATCTTAGTAAGAATCAGTCGCTTCCACTAAAACCTCATATATGAAGAATAACGAGGCCATATAACAGATTTTTACTGAGGAACAAGTAACTAGTTAAACTGTATCACTAGTGACATGATGGACGAGGAAAGTTTGTGTGGAGATGGTCATGACCCAGTGTTTGTGTGACAGCTCTTCCATCATGTTGAGTTTTTGACCTGAATGTTTTTTTTCTTTAGAGTAATTCTGACAAAGAGTGAAATCTGGAACAAAGGTAAGTGACGTCTCTGAACACATCACATGTACCACATACAGTCATCTTTGTGTTTTACTGGATGCATTTAAAGAAATCCTTAATTTTTCACACTGATTGCATTTGCTGATGCATGAAGAATTTTTCATTCACTCCTCGTTAATGAAAGCTGAATCTTTCTTTGAACAGGAGACACTTTGATCAGGTGGACTAACTTCACTTCATGAGGATTCTGCATCACTGAACTCCTGAGAAAACATTTCTACTGTGATGGACATTTTTTTATTTCAGCCAGGACACAACTCTCCTGACACAACTGTCCTGGCTGGGGTGGCTGTAGCTCAGGAGGTAGAGCACGTCACCTACTGATTGGAAGGTTGGTGGTTCGATCCCAGGCTCTTCCGGTCTGCATGCCAAGTATCCTTGGGCAAGATACTAACCTCTGATGCATCCATCGGAGTATGAATGTGTGTGACTGTAGTTAGAAAAG